GCAAACCATCACCTCCTACTACAACTACTTGGCAGGACCTTCCTGACAACTGACAAGGAGTCATGCGACTCAGTAGTGAGGCTTTCCTGGGTTAGTCCAATTTTAATAGCAATAGGCCAGGATCCTAGTAGCAACACAACTGTACAGTAAAGTCTCGCTCATGTTGCTAGATGCGGTGTGTCGGGTGATGGAATATAGGTTTCGGGTGGCCCACTGAACAGGCGCGGCTTGAATTGATCCCTGAGGACATGGGGAATCTGCGTTAACGACTCTCGTGCTAGAACCATGCTCCGAACGTGGATGAAGGCTCACCTCGAGGAGTAGGAGGAGGCTCACGTGACAGATTGATTACAATTTCATTGACAAACGATCCTCACGCCACTGAGTTTACTGAAATCGGGCAAACATCCACATTTACGGACTCACGGCTCTATGATGTAACAATCTACCTTACAGCACGCACCTTGCACACGAGCTGATGTCAACCGTGCTAATCGAAGGTGCGGGAGAAGGAAAACAAACTGAACACAAAAATCAGTTCTAAAGAAATGATTTTTCAATCTACATTTAAAAGCGCATAGCTCCAGTGGCTGCCTAATGTAGGAAGGAAGAGCGTTCCAGACGGCTGCAGAAGCGCATCCGAAAGCGCGCGACGCGGTAACAGTTTTTGTTCAATGACGGGCACCACATTTATTATCACTCTAATTAATAGAGATTACCTCTCTCCGCTATGGATGTGTTTAGTTTTTGTCGTACAATTCGTGCTCGAGCACCACTGCCAACGCAGTATCACACAAAATAGAATGGCGCTGAGCTATCCGTGAATTATTATGAGGTGCGTATGCGCTTTTGCAGAGGACCCATGTCCTTTTACACACCTGCACACAAAGAGTCTTGAACGGATATATAATTGAATTGAATACGCGCGCGCGCGCGTGTGTGTGTGTCTCTGTGTCGAGAAACGCGAATATGACCTTGTCTAAAATTAATTATCCGTATGTATTAGGAAAAAAAACGCGGCTGATGGGGAAAAGTTTCGGCATTAATTGCCCTTTATCAACCTTTGACTTTAAAACTGTCACGTGCGCCTGCCTCCTCGGCAGTGGAGTGTGTGTGTGTGGCTCAGAATAAAGACGCCGCTAATAATCTCCTGACATTAATGAGCTCATTTGCATATGCGATCGAGGCCAGCTTTAATTAGTTACGGAATTCATCGGCCCAATTAACGGCTGTAACCGATCATTTTAGGAGGATTGCACTCGCGACTTCGCTTCGTGCAGCTCTGACCCCTGGCTGCTTCTGCTGCTGGAAAGGCTTTTTCAACACCGCAGCGTCGTGCAGAAAGAAAAAAAAACCCACAACAAAACACACGTGCCAACCGTTCTTCATTCCTGTCTATTAGTTCAACGTAAAGCAGTCACATTGATTGACGATTCAGCAAACACGTTCACATCAACACGCCAGTCACTCGCTCATCGTTGGTCAGTCACTTACTTCACGCTTTTCTATCGTGACTTCACCCGTTGTTTCATCTACCATGTTGAGAACTCGGTTTAACCTGATTTGCTGTTTGGGCTCGTCCACGCAGTTGGTTCAACCACCAAACTGCAGATCACAAAACTTCTGTTGGCTGCTTCTTCCCTCGCACTTGTCCACTGTGGGATACCCGCTCATCGTCTCGTCACCCAAGCTCTTGCGCAATTCAAGAGACGTATTCAACCGTATCTATTACAACTTTAAAAAGTGATGGTTGTCACCGTTGGCATTTTGGGGCCTTTGAGATGATGTTTAGCAACCGTGATATACAACAACAACAACAAAAATGAGGTAAGATCCCATTTGAGACGGCTCGTCTCGTTTTCAAAGGAGATCCGCATTCAGCGCGTTCCAGGGTTAAAGGCCCCTTGTTTTAATCCACTGCTGGATCATGAAGTCCCCACGTCGTGTCGGTAGTGGGAGGTGTTTGAGCGTACTTCAGCACGATGCACAGTGCGGGCTTATGAAGTGGGTTGCGGAGACGGGACCCCGTTCAGATATCACTCGTCACTGATGTCAGCCATGGCAGGGAATCGAACTCGTGTGGCCATGTTTGCAGAGAAGTGTGACAACCACGGCGCCACGGGCATTCCTGTCGTGTCCTGAAAATAAAATTAGTCGGAATAATTCCAGTATTTGCCTTGGGATATTTTGCCAAACTTTTTGGTTCTTTCGGTAAAGTCACTTTACCGAATGAACCAAAGAGTACGGATTCCTACAGTCACGAAAGCTTCAAATCGAGATATTTTGCCGAGTCAAGTGAAATGAGTGAGGGTAATAATGTGTTTAAGTGAACTTGTGATGAAGGTTTTCTTTGAGTCTTTCAGTAAAGTCACGTAGATAGGTTCTTTGAATTCCTGCAGTCACGAAAGCTTTAAGTTGTGATGAAGGTGTTTGTCTGCTCAGCCTCCTGCTATAAGCGGGCGCATTGTCACCAACGCTCCCTCCCCGATATCACGTAGCGGCCCTATTTCAACCCATACCGCTAATGGCAAGACATTTGTAGAAGACAGCCGCTTTCCGGATCCACTGCTGGATGACTGCCTCCCTACGCCGCATGAATTATGGGGATGTTCTTTCGCCACGCTGGTCAGTGCGGATGAGTAAAGACGATGAGCGTAGATTGTGTAGCATCGAAGACTTTTGTTACACTGCACTCTGCTGGCAACGTATACCCTCCCAGCAGCCTAGAACACCTGTTTCATGCAGAGCGGTCGCCCATCCATCCAATAACGATTCAGGTTTAGGCCTGCTTAGCTTCCGAGATCTGACCAGATCGAGTGATTTAGTCATACAGGCAAACTGAAATAGAGCGCTCAAACCAAGAGGTGTCATCCGGAGCCGCGCGTCTAAGTCCAACAGATGGGCCACCCGGTCGCCGACGCGTCCTAAACTACGGGGTGCAGGAGTAGCATCCGTTGCGAGTGTACAATGTTTGCCCGTTAAGATGTATTCAGTGGTGGTGTTTCATTCAGACGCTGTCTTCCCGACAGACCTGTTCTTCACCTGAGGACGGCTGCTTGCGTTGTGGCCGAAACGTCGTGAGAATTATTATTATTTTATTATTTCCCTTCTACGTGACTTTACCGAAAGAACCAAGAAGATGTATTCAGTTATTTTAAAAATTACAATTAGCCGATTGAGCTGCGGTTTTGCAATGTTGGCACCGCATCGCTTGTGTACTTACCTTGCACACGTTTGTTTTTTTAAATTATTGTAAATAAATAAAAACACGCGAACGCTTAAGCGTTCTGCACCAGCGCGGAATAACGGAAGCAGAATTCGGCACGAGCAGAGTGCCCGAGATGTTGGCGAACGCGTGGGTCGCCAAAGCCACGCGGGCTCGACACGTGGAGGTTCAGAGTGTTCGAGAAGTCACGCGGTAACGCATTCGCACACTTGCACGCGTTTTTTTGCGTGTTCAGTTTTTTTTTTGTATCGACGTAGCTCAAGCTTCTGTCTAATTATAATTCTCTTCGGCAAAAAAAATATAAAATGACACCTTTCTGGACACACCGTGCATTTTAGAACTGGCGTTGACTGATACGTGTATTTCACTCGTAAGCTATACTCCCTCTCCTCCCCCATGCAAGAATGACGGTGGGGGCATGGTCCCCTGGACTGACAAGCACCCGCGCTCGCATAGAGACATGGAGAGAGGCTGGGCGGTGTTATTTCTGTGCCGGATTAAGCGCGCGCTGATACCGTGGCTTGGTTGTCCATCCCCAACGCTCGCTCGCTCCCCATCCGCCTGGGCCGCTTTAGCTTAATTCAAACACGAAACGGTGTGATTGTAAAAACAGAAGAAGAAGAAAAACTGACCGTGAACTGGAATCCACCGTGAGATTTAGACGGTGAAATGATGCGTCGACGGTCACACAATGGTAGAGGTTAGCGGTGATAAATGTCCCTATGAACTCGTAGCCGGACTGTGCAAGCTTTCCGTGGGCTTCGGTGTCACACTCGACGAAAAGCGAGCTACATTGTTCGCTGATGTTGTGTGGAGCGCACATTTGTAAGTGCGTATCGCGAGACTTGCAGGGGCGATTATGCAGAACTTTACGACGAGCTTTCCCTATCAGTAGAAACAATCTACCGAGGCGATAGTGTTTTTGTGAACCCAGTTTTGAATAAATTGTTGTTGGGTTTGTACCTCCGCTAGATATTGTACGCGTAATAGACTCTGTGTTTGTGCAAAGTGTGCGCTCTGTAGCCTTTGTAGAACACGATTAGAATCAGTCAATTATCACAATCCTCCTCCACATGTACAGTATGCATGTATGTTGAACGTCTTTTGCTCCGTACGTAGCCAACTGTGTTTATCGGAGGTGTGGGGATTAGGTACACACAGATCTTCCAAGGAGCCTCATCTGGCCAGAATTCTTTAATAGCAATAGCACTTTGCGGTTGATTTTTGAAAAAAAAAACATGATTATTTTAAAAAGTAAACAACCCATTGTTTTTTTTTCTCCCAATAGCTGTTCGTGCATTTGTGTTTATGCAAAAAATAAAAAAGTACACGTTTCAGTGTGTAATTACGCGTGTCTCCACCAACGCCCGGGGTTAGACAATTCAGTTTTAATTAATGTTGTTAGGTTAAAAAAAAGAATCAGTTTCTTTAATGCTATATTTCATTCTGACAACCATTTCTGGCGAACGACGATTAAAAAACAAATCTTCGATCACGCCACCGTCGCCGCACCGCGCGGTTGACTCACAATGAGCTCACCCTCGCAGCATCCACCAAACCTGCACGGCCACCCCCCGCCAAGTTCCGGTAACACGAGGCTCCGAGGGTAATGGAGCGAGGTGACAGCTGACCAATGGAGCAGGGTGGTGCTATATGAGTAGCGTGTGTGTACGCGTGCCTGTGTCTGTCTAGCTGTGTGTGTGCACGCGTGTGTGCGTTTTTTTCCCCCCTCTCTCTCTCTCTGTCTGCCCTCTGTGTGACTGGAGGGAGAGGCATGAAAGAGCACGGATCGTCCACCCAGTTGCCCAGAGTCGGGCATTTGCCCTCCCCGCTCGCGAGGATGCAGCTGGCACATCAAGCCTACTTCGCTCCCTGCTCATCATCCTCCTCCTCCTCCTCGAGCATGGCGTCGGGTTTTCCCACTTTCTCGACGCGCTTACATCACCAGCCCGGCCTCGAGGTGGAACTTTCTTGGAGGGACGAGCCCGGCTCCTCCCCGAACACAATCACAGTCGACTCACTCCACAGGCTGGGACTCGGCATGAGCGCGCAGGCGGGGGCGTTCCCGTTTGCGGCTCCAAAGGAGGTGGTGGCGGTGGAAGAAGCGCAGCAGCATCATCAGCATCATCAGCAGCAGCATCATTTCCAGCAGCAGCAACAACAGGGCAGAGTCCCGCTCCTCTTTGGCGATCTCAGCTGCGACACGCGACACACGTTCGAAGACACCTCCGATAGATTCGCCTTGGCTCCGGCTCCCCCTGCGCCAGGCGCGGGGGTCATGTTCCCATACGTGGGGCAGCAGGTGGCGGGGCCGCCCGCCTTCACCATGGGCAGCCCCGGCCGCTACATGGGCCCGCAGTCGGTTCTGTCGGGCGGCCCCTACGGCACCTTCCTGGCGCCTCCACCACCGCCGTCTTCGTCGTCGTCACAGCCCTTCTCCGGGTACAGCTACCCGCAGCAGTACCCGCACGGGTACCACCAGGGTGGCTCCTTCTACTCGCTGGGGCCACCGCAAGCGGGGCTGGTGCCGGGCAAGGCGCACGTGTACCTGTGCAACCGGGCGCTGTGGATCAAATTCCACCGCCACCAGACGGAGATGATCATCACCAAGCAGGGCAGGTGAGCGCGCGACAGAGTCGATGTCGAGCGAAGCCGGTGACCGTCTGTCTACCGCACAGCCCCGGAGCGTTGGTGGTTGGGAGGCGGCTGCAGACACTACCCCCCTCCCCAAATGAAATTTTAGCTCCCCCCGACGCAAAATTCTTATAGTCAGTTAACAGACAAGCTCGACATCGCAGCCTTTCAATGTATATCTACATGGGCTGAGCGCTAGAGCAATATGCATGAGAGAGAAGACGATCATATATCATAATTAATTCTTTTTTTGTGTTGAATATTGGTTTATCGTTGACCGTGTGGTACTTCTCCTCCCCTATGAGTTTGTGTAATGCCCCCCCCCCCCCCATCCATTTAAACAAAGTCACGCTACTACAGAATTGCGCCACAATCAGTCTTACGGTGTGTACAGAGGCAGTCAGTGATCAATTCCAGTCGGCGCTGTTCTGGTCGGCTGCCCGGAGTACATTTATTTTGTTTGTATATATGTGTAATTCAGCATCCGGCACACGGCATCCAATCTACATCTCGCTGTGGATGTGGATGCCATTCCCGTGCCACTTCAAGTCTGACTAGCGACCCATCGGAAAGTGGTGAACGAAAGTAGTCAACGCGTCCTCGAACCGCGTTCGAGACCACAAGGCGTGCGCGCACGTTTTGCCGTGATGTGCGGCGCGTGTTCATTACGCGCCTCTCGCGATCCTGCGACGGAGCGATCCCAACCTTAGCATCTACACACGAGCTGATTTCAACGTTTCGGGGAGAGAGGGAGGGTGAGTGGGGAGGGGGGTCGGTCATCGAGCAGTGGATTGATCATGGCTGATGATTACTATTGTACTCGTATGATTAATATAACGGTGAGTATGGGGCAATAAACTCTGGGCACCTGCGACATTGCATGCATGCATACGCACGTGCGCTGTTTATCTACAGCGGGTAGGCGAGTGTTACATGTCGTCCGTGCGCGCGTATGTGTGTATATTCATACGGTATGTACGGTTTTATATTTACGCGTTGTGTGAGTGCAAGATATTCACGTTAAGTTGTTCGTGCATCTTAGTGGAGGAAACCTCTATGTCTATCTGTGTAAGGTAGACATTTATAAACTAATATTATTCAACTCGCCTATCGAATATGTTTTTATTATATATACCATTTCGTGAGACAATGTTTGTATATTTTAACAGACACGTTATATTATAACATTAAAATCAAAATTATATAATGGCTTATCAGCATATCAGCCTTCCGAGGCAATGTTTTACAACAGAATGTTGTTGAAGCTGGGGGAAAAAAACCCACTAGGGCTGGTTTAGACTTTTGTGGGTCTCATCGGCAGAGGTGTGTCCCGTTTATTTTATCAAAAGAATGAGAAACTGTAAGATTTCGCACATCCGATTAGCACGGTTGGATACGTACGGTGCGAAAGAAGTTCAACAAGCATACATCTTGTGTGTGATATTAATAGGCTCATTTGTATCACGCTACTCGCAACGACTCCCGCTACTCATACCTGCCGCTGACATTCTCTCTTGGTCTCTACTTTAAACAACAACAACAACAAAAGCCCCCAGCGCTCACCTCGAAGCAAACACGTCACGGTTCGATTCCCGATACGGCGGCGCAGTAAGAATGCCTCTGCGGCGGCGATGACACAGGGCTCGCCGTTCGGTGTCATGTGGTCGTCAAGGAGTCGATGCTGTCGTGATTCTCAAGAGATGACCACTGCGCGCCGCACAATTGGCCTTAGTCTGTCGGGTTTTTATTTATTCATCCTGATGTCAAATTAATTGTACAAAGTTGGAAGTACTGCCTCCTACTTTAACGCCAGTTACCGGCGTATCCCTTTGCAATTGAGACAATGGACGACGTTAAACATCAATTAAATCATGTACTGTACAAAACCAACGCTGTTTGGATGATATTGGTCTGCAAAGCTATTAGGCGTATGGTTAAAACATATTTTGATCGTACGTGAAAACACAGCCCGGAGGTCGGGGTCTACGCTATTTCATCAAAATTCCGCGCATCTCCACTCACTCACCCACACAGACAAATACCCCCCGTACAGCCTGAACAGACTGTTGGGGCAAGTGCTGTTAGCGAGCACCTATGAATGCCGGAACGGCACACGAGGAGGTGATGGATGGCTAGCAACCACGCCCGACCGCCTTTGTCTCCCCAGTGATGATGTTTACACATCGCACCGTGTGCCTTTTTGAGGCTGAGTCAACCTAGGGGAGGGCCCAGGACCGGTTCAGATAATCGTCACTGGTGTTCGCCGTGAGCGGGAATCGAACTCGGGTCGCCGGGTTCAGTAGCGCAGCGCGCTAACGGCGACACTACAGCTCCCCACACAGACACACACACACACTCACCTGCACGCCTCACCCACACACTTACCTGCACGCCTCACCCATACACTCACCTGCCTCACCTGCACACTCACCTGCACACACATCCACTCACCTGCACACACACCCACACACTCACCCGCACACTTACCTACACACCTCACCTGCACACTCACCTGCACACTCACCCACACACTCACCTGCACACCTGACCCACACACTCACCTGCACACACACCCACACACTCACCCGCACACTTACCTACACACCTCACCTGCACACTCACCTGCACACACATCCACACACTCACCTGCACGCCTCACCTACACACTCACCTGCACGCCTCACCCACACATTCATCTGCACACTCACCCACACACTCACCCACACACTCACCTACACACTCACCCACACACTCACCTGCACACTCACCCACACACTCACCTGCACGCCTGACCCACACACTCACCTGCACGCCTCACCCACACACTCACCTGCACCCACACACCTGCACCCACACATTCATCTGCACCCACACACTAACCTGCACGCCACACCCACACACTCACCTGCACACTCACCCACACACTCACCTGCACACCTCACCCACACACTCACCTGCACACTCATCCACACATTCACCGACACTCTCACCCACACACTCACCCACACACTCACCCACACACTCACCTGCACGCCTCATCCACACACTCACCTGCACGCCTCACACACACACACTCACCTGCACACTCACCTGTACACACACCCACACACTCACCTGCACACTCACCCACACACTCACCCAGACACTCACCTGCACGCCTCATCCACACACTCACCTGCACGCCTCACACACGTACTCACCTGCACACTCACCTGTACACACACCCACACACTCACCTGCACACTCACCCACACACTCACCCAGACACTCACCTGCACGCCTCATCCACACACTCACCTGCACGCCTCACACACGCACTCACCTGCACACTCACCTGTACACACACCCACACACTCACCTGCACACTCACCCACACACTCATCCACACACTCACCTGCACGCCTCACCCACACACTCACCCACACACTCACCCACACACTCACCCAGACGCTCACCTGCACGCCTCACCCACACACTCACCCACACACTCACCTGCACGCCTCACCCACACACTCACCCAGAAACTCACCTGCACCCCACACACACCTGCACACACACCTGCACGCCTCACCCACACACTCACCTGCACACCCACACAGTCACCTGCACGCCTCACCCACACACTCACTCGCACGGGCTAACTACGAGGCGCGATTTTTGCGCGCGTGAGCGCACTGCTCTCTCTCTCTCCGTCACTTTACGAATCGATTGATAACGAGGTCGGTGTTATTAAAAAAAAACAAATACAGATTACTTTTTATTTCTTTCAATGCTTACAGTCGAGTACATACTGTGGTTGTGTAGTTGTTGCTGTTGTTGTTATTGAATGGGGAAAACGAACCGAATCATCATGTTCGTGAAGGTATCGCGTGAAGAGGTGAAAGGCGGAGACTTTGAACGCGAAGTGAAGCGATAGCCTAATGTCGACCTCTATACACGAATGTAAATCATAAGTACGATAATAAACTACAACTCATATACAGCCCTCGGTCAATTCGCTGTTTAGGTGAAGCCGACCCCCCAATGAAGTGTCAGTCGTGTTTTGTTCGACCATACTTCACCACGGAATGTAACTGCAGGGACGTACATTACTGCATTTTTATCACCATCATCAAAACAAACAAACGAATTCACAAATCGTTGAGCAGCGGGTCAGCCCTCTGGTGTATATTGCCGAATGGTTGGTGTAATAGTTAAAATGACGTTCGCATCTTCAGCCGCAGTGAGACTATCACCACATCTCTGCGTGGAGGCGATTTTACTGACGCCGTATTTAACATATCGCTTTGTACGCCATACATTCCGATTCGTAATGAGATCTGTACCGCAGCACGATATCAACAACAACAACAAAACGCATTGAAATGTATAGACAACGCATTTTTATTATGGTCTTATCTATATAGTGTCATATATATCTATATATATGAGCACCGCGTCCTATAGACGTAACACTGGTTTGGTTTAAATTCGTAAATCCGACCGCGCTTATATATAACAGAATTACATTCGTAAATAACACGTTCTTGAAATAAAAAAATATAAAATAGGCGATGTTTCGGTCAATGGCCCGAATTCATAGCACATCAACGTCACATAGTTTCTTCAGAGAACACCGTTAATGTGCTATGAAGAAGGGCTATCGCCCGAAACGTTGCCTATGAAAATGTAATTGTATTTAAAGTCCACAGTGTTATTGACGAATTCGTTTTATTTGTTGCTAACCGTGCTTGTGCATCGCTGCCAACGCAACAGCAACAAACTGTTTGCTTATAAATGATGAGAATAATAATTGTGATTGCGCTCAGAACTTGTAACGGGCAGTGGTCTAATGTAGGATTACATTCTGCCTGTGTGTGTGTGTGATCACAATCCCCCAACGCACGTACTTATGTGTACACATATATGCACATTTTGTACAGGTAAATTAAGTTTACATTGAATGCAATCGTCTCAAGGAATTTGAAGAGTCGTGGCGCAGTGTT